ATCTGTTGAAGATGCTTTTGTCAAAACAATCTTAGTTTATTTATTTTTTCTTCTGATGTTTGCATCTAATGTTTACATATGTACTTGAATATTTTCTGATGTGTGTACTTTTGCTCTGAATGAATGAATGAATGTTTCAAAGTTTTCTCCACATGATTTATCTCGTTTATTGTTTCCTTTTCTTTGTCTTTTCAAAGTTCTTACTTTTTGCTTATGACAAAAAAGGGGGAGAAAATATATCTGAACTGTTTAATTAAACTTTACCAGAATGAAACTTCAGACATACTAATTTTATCTAACATAAATATCTGAGCATTTCAGAACATTTGATAAGTATACTCTGTAAAAGAAACTCTGAGACTCTCAGATCATATGAAAATTATCAGACTCTGACTCTGAAATATGCAAAACACTCTGACTCTCAAATGGTTAAGAACAATCAAGCTCTAATCCTGAAATATACTCAAGACAAAAGGGAAGTTTCTATTCCTTATTTATATTTAATTCAGGGGGAGATTCATCATCTCAGAGGGAGTTATAATTATTCTATTTTCAATTAAACAAAATTTCTGATGTTTTTGTCATCATCAAAAAGGGGGAGATTGTTAGAACACTAATTGGTTCTTAATAATATCTCTATGTTTTGATGATAACTATTATGAAATTTTGTAATTAAGAATTATATACTCTAAAATTTGCTTAAGAATATTTGCTGCAGATATTAAAGTAAATATCACTCCAGAAGCAAATCAGATCTGAACATAAGAAATATGCAAAGCTCTGAAGCGTCAGATGCACCCATTAGAAGATTCTGAACACTGCCATCAGAAGATCCTGAGCGTAGCCTCCAGAAGGATCTGAAGCAGAAGCTCCAGAAGGATCTAAAGCAGAAGCTCCAGAAGAATCTGAAGCAAGTCAGAAGCATCTGAACCAAAGAAGAATTTTGTATGAAGAGTTTTCAAGCATAGTTACTACAGAAGATTCTGAGAGTACTAAAGCTGCCAGTACTGAGGATCTGACTCAAAAATATGCTCTGAACTTATACACGCTAAAAGCAGACTTGCTGCAAAGACTCTGATTCAGCAAAACTCTGATCAACATCAGAAGGCTCTGATCAATTTAGACTCTGATGATTCTTGCTGAAAATTGATGAAGAAGAATTCAAAGATTATGTCCGTTGGAATATCCAAACGACTCTTTCCTTATTTATGCTAGACACAAGAACACAGACAAAAAGGATTTCTCTGTGCTTTCTTCTTCTAGGAAAGGTCACTTGATGAGAAGACAAAAAGGGCTCAGACCTTTTAGTACACACTTTTCAATGTGAAAAGCTCTTGGATCACTGTGCCTATAAAAGCAAGTCTCCACTCATCTTCTTCAGTTGACGTTTTACTTGAAAAGAATTGATTATCAAAGCTCTCATACAACTCACATTCTTTCTAGAATTAATTTCTTTGTTCTTAATATTAAGTGAAAAATCACAGTTGTGATAAAGCTTTATTAGAAGCATTTTAACACTTGTATTTGTTATTACATTTGATTGTAAGAAAACCTTAAGAAGATCCAGTTAGGATCAGTAGTTCTTGAGAAGACTTTGAACAGTTGTTCTTAGTGCTTACTATTGTAATCAGTTGATTAAATAGTGGATTAAGTCCTTGTTTGAGAAATGCAAATCACTCTAGGAAGGGTGGACTGGAGTAGTTGAGTTCAACGAACCAGGATAAAAATACTTGAGTTTTTATTATTAAGTTTTTATCTTCATACTTATTCAACCCCCCTTCTAAGTATTTTCTCACCTTCAGATGCACCTAATGAGATTATTATGAGGATGATATTGACGTGTGCATTATGCATTCATGTGCATCCGAACTTCGGTTCAGGACCTTGATTTCTTTGGCTTCAGTCCCATTGTACGGATGTGAGGTATTTTGATGTGCTACGGTTCTTGTATAAAATCGATCCTATTGATGGGGATCTATGGAAGGTTGATGACTCAGTGTCCATCGAGTTGTGATGATTAATACCACATGCATAAGTTTTGTTACATTTACATTTATGTGACAATTTGGTGTAATTTATAATGTTGTGACCTTTGATGTTCCTTGATGATTATGATGATGTTGAATATGAAAATGACGTTGTTTTATATATTGATTCCTATATTGATTATTATGAATCATTTTACTCACCCTGCCTGTTTGAATGTTGCCTCCACGTGGGTAACGTGCAGATGACCGGGTTTAGCCGTGGATGCCGTCGAGGACTTTTGAAGTTTTTGGGTCGTTGGTCATTGTCGTTGACTTAGAGGGTCTTGCTCTGATAGTGTAACATCGGGTTGAGGTCCTTGAGTCAAACTATTTTATTGAGTTTTTGTTATGTTGATTTCCTTGCAGTAAAAGGAAAACTTTGGTTTTTGCCTTTTTGAGTTCCGCTGCCATTTGAGCACTTTTGAGTAATTTTGAGAAAACCTGTTGCTTACGGAACATTGACCTTGATTTGAATTTATTGAGAAATGTACGCCCTTTAAGGTGATTTTTATGGTGTTTAAAATTTTACTCTGATAAATTATATTATTTTGCCATAATATTCGTGGGGTAGAAAAGGGTGTTACGTTATGCGTGATAGGCCTTGATTTTGAATATGAAGACTTTGACCAAATACCTATTTTGAGTCGGAATTCAAGTTTGCTTGAAGGACGAGCCCCACCACATGGGATAGACGAGAATCTATGAGATTTGTCGGTTCTAAACGATCTACCTTAAGAGTCACCGCCGCCATTTTTTATTAAAGAGGGTCATAGGCCATCTAAATCACACTCCACCTTTTATCGAATTTTTCACTCTCTTACCACCTTTTTGAATACAAAATACCAAATACCCATCCTTTTTAAAATAAATACCAAACTACCATGTTTTCAAAAAAAAATATTTTTGTTATAAAGGTGTCGCTCATTCAATGGGCGATAATGTGTAAAAAAATGTTTTCCGCCCATTCAATGGGCGGCACTGTTTAATGCGTTATTTTTTTTTTTTAATATATTTTCAATAAATATATTTTTAGTTAATAATTAATATAAATAATACATATATATATATATATATATATATATATATATATATATATATATATATATATATATATATATATATATATATATATATATATATATATATATATATATAAATTTAAAAAATGTTAACTGTTAATTACTTATTAGAAATATATTAATTTTTTTATATTAATATATATTAATTATTAATATTTATTATATTAATTATAATTATAATTATATTTTTTAAAAATATATTAATTAATATATATTAATATTAATATATATTAATATTAATATATATTAATTATTAATATTAATTATATAAAAAATATATTAAAAAAATTTTGATTATACAGTGTCGCACATTCAATAGGCGGAGTATATTTTTTTTACACACTACTGTCAATTAAATGGACGACACTAATGAAAATGATTTTTTTTTGAAAATATAATAATTTGGTATTTATTTGTATGAGTAGAGAGTATTTTGTACCCAAAAAGAGGATAAGTCAGTGAAAAGTTTCCTTTTATCAGTCAAAAGCAATGAAACATTCAAACAATGTATGGTTTATTAGATTCATTACACCTATCGGTCAAAAGCAATGAAACATTCAAACAATGTATGCTTTATTAAATTCATTACACCTTATCGGTATTCATTACACGTATTTGGTAAACGTCATGGCTTTGAATATCTCAAAAATAACATTATTCAATCACACGTATTTGGTAAACGTTTGAATATCTCAAAAATAACATTATTCAATCTTTTATATATATATATATATATATATATATATATATATATATATATATATATATATATATATATATATATATATATATATATATATATATATATATATATATATATATATATATATATATATATATATATATATATATATATATATATATATATATATATATATATATATATATATATATATATATATATATATATATATATATATATATATATATATATATATATATATATATATATATATATATATATATATATATATATATATATATAAATGTGAGGATCAACTTTCTTTAAAAATAATTTTTTTTAATTAAATCTAATTTAAAAGTTATGATTGGAGAATAAATTATAAAAACTTATTTTTGCAGTAAGTCGATCTCCAATATATATATATATATATATATATATATATATATATATATATATATATATATATATATATATATATATATATATATATATATATATATATATATATATATATATATATATATATATATATATATATATATATATATATATATATATATATATATATATATATATATATATATATATATATATATATATATATATATATATATATATATATATATATATATATATATATATATATAAAGATGGAGATTAACTTACTCCAAAAATAAATTTTTTAACTTATTTTAAATCATAATATTTGAATTTAATTTAATTTAATGGTTAATTAAATAAAAACATAATCTAATCATTAGATTATATTCAATTAAAAGGCTATAATTTGAAATAAATTAAAAAAACTTAGTTTTGGATATATATATATATATATATATATATATATATATATATATATATATATATATATATATATATATATATATATATATATATATATATATATATATATATATATATATATATATATATATATATATATATATATATATATATATATATATATATATATATATATATATATATATATATATATATATATATATATATATATATATATATATATATATATATATATATATATATATATATATATATATATATATATATATATATATATATATATATATATATATATATATATATATATATATATATATATATCTTTCAAGCTTAACAATTGAACCATCGCTTAGTAATTAATTTCTACTAGGGTTGTTACTCCTTTCTTCCTTTACACAGATCAACATGAGGATTCTGTCTCAAGAATGGAAACTTTCATTGACAATACTAGTACTAGTGTTGTTGTCATGCACACCATACTCATCAGCTGTTTCTAGTAAGACAAATAAAAACGTTAAAACAAATGTTTTTATGTCTCCCAAGATTGAACTAAGTCCAGGATCTGTTTCAAACAAATTATATTTTGATGTTGATTTTCCAAGAGGCCATATTTCACTCAAGAGTTTCAATGCTGAACTAGTTGATGATGCAGGAAATTCTATACCTCTCTCTCAAACTTATCTACATCACTGGATTTTTCTAAGATATCACCAACCAAAAAATGTGACACATGATAACCAATCCGGTATTACTTTTGTGAGAAATAGTGGATTTTGCCAAGAGAATGTTTATGGTCAATACTTTGGTCTTGGATCTGAAACAAGGCGCACAAATACATATATTCCAGACCCTTATGGAATAGAAGTTGGTAATCCTGCTGAAATTCCAAAAGGGTATGCGGAGAAATGGATGTTCAATATTCATGCTATTGATACAAGGGTGTGGAAGATAAAATGGGGTGCATTGAGTGTAAGTGTGATTTGTTTAATGTTACAAAAGATGAAGATGGTGTAGCTTTGAGTCCAAGTTATAAAGGAGGTTTGCAATGTTGTCCTGATAATAGTAAGTGCAAGATGGTGAAAGGGATTTTAGGTTCAAAAAGAAGTATTTATTTAAAATACACAGTTATATGGATGAATTGGGAGAGCTTTATTGTCCCTGCCAAGATTTATATAATTGATGTAACTGATGTTTTGAAGATGTCAGATACGTCTAAAGGAAAGAGTCTAGAGCATGATTGCCAAGATAGAATATGAAGTTGAACCTTGCAGCAAAAGTAATGTGAATGGTAGTGATTGTGTTGATGTGAAGAGATCAAGCTTCCCAATGCAAAATGGTGGTTATTTCATCTATGGAGTTGGTCATATGCATGTAGGTTCAATTGGAACAACTCTATATGGAAAGGTAACATTAAATCATTTCAATCATTTTAATATTTGAATACTGCACTTTGGTATGAATATATCTTTATTAGTGAAACAGTCTCCACCATGATTTTAAATTGCGGTTGCACATGCGGTTGCGAGTGCGATTGAAGTTATTGTAATTGTTGCGGTATGTGTTGCGACAGTTGAAGCGTGAATTTTGATTGAGAAGAGTTTAAAATATGTCATTAAAAAACACTTAATGTTAAAAAAAATAGAAATAATTGAGTATGAGGTTCTAAATTTCAAGTTTTGATTGAAAATATCCGAAGAAATTTAGACGAAGTTGTCTGATACAGTTTTTAATATGGAAGTATGTGTGATTTTAAATCACAATAGAATTGCGGCTAATATGATTGCGGAGATTACCTCATTAATAATATTGCAGCCGCAATTGTGGTTGCGAATAGCAATTTAAAATCATGGTCCTCATTTTACAATTCAATTTATAACATTATAAATGACTCTACTTAAGATTGTACTAAAACATTACTCAAAATTCGTTTGGCCATCTATTACCTAGTTTTTATTATTGGACCACCATCGTTTATATTATCTCCAAAGATAATTATGAACGTGAGAGATTATGTTAAGATTTTATATCAGGCCATATATATTCATATATATATTTATTAAGCGGAGTGATTCCAATTTTATAATTTTAGGAGATTGTGTTAGATTAGACAACAAACCCTTTTAATTTTTTCTTTAAAACTAAAAAGAGATCTAAATATGCATATATCATAGGCATCTTGCTATATTGTGTGAATGTGCTTAGCTTTTATAATTAAACTATCTTATTTCTTTGAACTCTTATCATTTTGATCATGAAAATTTTCAGG